CCCTGGACACAAGGAAAGACCACAGCCGGGCAGTGCTCAGGACCCTGGACACAAGGAAAGACCACAGCCGGGCAGTGCTCAGGACCCTGGACACAGGGAAAGACTACAGCAGGGCAGTGCTCAGGGCCCTGGACACAGGGAAAGACCACAGCCGGGCAGTGCTCAGGACCCTGGACACAGGGAAAGACCACAGCTGGTCAGTGCTCAGGGCCTTGGACACAAGGAAAGACCACAGTTAGGTGTCCAGGACCCAAAAGACAAGACGGCAGAAGAGATGGCTGCTTTGGATGAGCAAGACAGAGCAGCACAGAGACATCCCTTTGCTGCTGAAGGAAATTGTCTTGTTGAAGAGGGTTTTCCTCAAAACCTCTGCATCTCTCCAGGAGCCGCAGAAGGGCAGTTCTCGGGAGACACTGCAAGGCCTCTGCCACTGGCCAGGGAAGCCCCGACTGCTTGGCCCGGGGACACTGCCCACACCAGCCTGGTGCCTGCCAATCCCCAACTGTGTGCTCCAACTCAGCCGGCAGCCAGCAAATGCAGTGCAGGAGCAGACGGCAGGAACTCAGCGATGGCAGCAAATGCTCTGCGTGACAACACGGTGTCCCAAAGTCCGCAGAAGAGGTCTGAGGGGCTCCTGAGCTCCAACCGCGGCCAGCCACCTTCTGTGGGTCCACCAGCACCAAGCCCAAGGGGCCTGGGGCTGGAACCCCACCCTGGCCTTGGTGCCCCATCCCCCAGTGCTTATGCTCTGGTGCCTGTGCTGGGGGTGGAGCCTCTGGATCCGGGACAGCAGGCATTGCCCAGGGCTGCCCCCAAGGCAAAGAGCCTGGGACCTGGGGCCCAGGTGGACCAGCAGGTGCCAGATGGCAGCCAGCTCAGGCTGGAGGAAGCTGGTGCAGGGCACCAGGCTGGACAGCCAGAGGGGTCTGAAAAGCGGGGGGCAGCACCCTTGGACCAGAGGGCTGTGCTGTGCATGACAGAGCCTCAGGCACAGGCTGCTCAGGACCTGGCGGGGGGTGAGAAGATGCCAACGGTGGCAAAGCCCTGCCCACACAAGGCTCAGGGCCAGGAGCAAGCACTGGGGCCGTGTGGACGGCGGGCCAGCAGCCCAGCCCCGGGTGGCAGTCCCCAGGCTGGTGTGATTCCAGCCACTTCAAGGAAGCTCAAAAGTCCTGGCAGCCTGGCTGTGCAAGGTCAGGGCCAGGGTCAGGGGCTGGCCGGTGGGATGGCTGCCCAGGCTCAGGCACAGCTGGCCTGCACAGGGGAAGGGGTGCCCACCGCTGGTATACCTGGGGAACCCCCGAGGCCAGCCCCCAGAGTCAGAGACCACGACAGCCCAGACATTCAGGGCAGCCAGGGCGCCCAGGGCTCACCCAGAGGAAGCCAGCTCCAGGGGCACAGCCGGGCCCCAGCCTGCCCCCTGGAGCCAGGGGATGGCTCTGCCTGGCCCAGGTCGGATGCCAGGGGTCAGCCCTCCCAGGCCCCAGCTGTAGAGGGGCTCCCGAGCACCCCAGGGGCAGAGAGGGACTGGCCAGATGGAGAGCATCACAGGAGGCCCCTGCATTACGCCAAGTACAAAGCCCAAAGCTTCAGCGACCAGAGAGCCTTTGACCTGTCCTTTAGACCCACCATCCTTCGAGCCACCGACACCTTTGCACCCCCAAAATGAGGGCCTGCTGCAAGCGGCCAGCACTGCAACACCCAGCGTGGGTTCCCTGTGTGTGCTGCCCCCCAAGCAAGCCATCTTCAGAGACCACCTCATGCCTGGAGCCGGCGCCTCGCAGCTTCTCCGAGTGAGGAGTCGCTGGCTGAGTGCATGCTGTGTCTGATCTGCATCGTTGCTCCTGGGCCGTGGGTGGCCCTCGCTGGGCCCTCAGGCTCAGAGCTCCAGAGCTGCTCCTCCATGTCCTTGCCAAGCACCGCTTGGCATGATGACGGTGGCCTTGGCCTGCATGCCTGGAGAGGGCTCTATGTGCCTGACTGCAGGACCGCAGGCCAATGCCCATCTCGTGGTGGTCACAGGACTGGCAGGACCCTGGAGCATCCTGCTCATCTCCATGGCGATCCTGGGGAGATGCCTGGGGGAGCCAGGGTCCCCAGCATGGGATTTGGGATGGTGAGCATGCTATGGCCAGCACCAGCCCACTGCTGCCCACAGCCAGGGCTCAGATGTAGAGACAGAGGTGCTGGCTCCACAGCACGCAGCCAGTGCCGAGCTGCCCAACCCAGTTACTGCCACAACCTGCCCCCACCGAGAGTTCATGTATTGTTGTTGTCATTGTTACTGTTATTATGAAGGAGTACAAGGAAAGGAGGGATGTCCCGAGGGTCACACTGCCTTGGGATCTTTTTACTGCTGTTGTTGGTGGTCATGGGGCTTGAACTCAGGGCCTGGGCACTGTCCCTGAACTCTTTCCCTCAAGGTGAGTGCTCTACACCTTGAGCCACAGCACTCCTTCTAGTTTTCTGGTGGTTAATTGGAGATAAGAGTTTCATGGGCTTTCCTGCTTGGCTGGCTTTGAACCGAGATCCTCAGATCTCAGCCTCTAGAGTAGCTAGGTAATTATAGGTGTGAGCCACCAGCGCCCAGCTTCAGGATCTTTTTTTTTTTTTTTTTAACCACCCTGGCCTGTTTACCAGGCTGTTGTCTTAGTGTGTCTACTGTAAGGGACCATGTATATTATATGGCCTGGGCTCACCCACGCAGCCTGGAGGCCATGGCCACTGTATCCCTCGTGTACACACCAAGCCCCACTCTCCCCAGGAGTGCAGTGGGGACCACTGCCCATGTGCTCTGTCGGTGCAGTACCCTCTTTGCAGAATCAGCTTCTGCCTTTGGAGAGGCCTCCTCCCATTCACCCCCTTTACAACTGGGAAATTCCCTCAAATGCCCCTTACCCTGCAGCAGGCCCTGTACACGGTGATCTCCTTTGTCTTCTTACCTGAATATCTTTTCAGAGAGAGATGATTCCTAGCTCAGCATTGCATGGTTGTCTAGCTGACAGCTATGCCCGCTGAGGCTGGGGCCTAAGGATCCTCCTACATCAGTGCGCATGTGCCAGCCGTGCCTTGTCCAGGGGCAGAGTTCTGTCTCCTTCTACCCTCTGATCAGTATAAACAGAATAAATTCCAGCAAATTGGAAGCTGTGGTGCCTGTTTGAGCAGCCAGGTGTGCAGAGCCTGTCTTCTCCTCTAGGAGGCACTGCTCCTGGCCCCTGGGGGCTCTGCTAGGCGCACAGGACTCTCCATGGCATAGTTGGTGTGTGTGGGTGGGGCCCACGCTACGATGTACAACCCCCTCTCCTGCACCCTCCCCCCACAGAAACCTCTCCCCTGAGGGCCTCTGTGATGCCTGCTCGTGGGCGTAGGGATGACTTCTGGGGCCTTCCATCCTGGGGCCACGGGCATGCAGGGAGGGCCAGGTGGGTGGGTAGCCCCAGCAGAGGCCACCACCCAGCCTTTTGGTGCTGTCAGTTACCCTTACCAGGGCATATGCCTGGAGCCCTGGGTGGGGTAGGACTGTAACACACACACACACACACACACACACACACCCCGCACATGTGCACACACACTGATGCAAAACCTCTTCACGTATTCCCTCTTCTTATACCTATTCCATGAGGTGATGTTTGGCATAGGACATGGTTTTGACAGGCCAGGAGATAAAAATATTATAATCACTCATGTTCCCTTTAGGAATAAAAATTAGCAGGACTTGCTGCTATTTTTAAATAAACAAGAAAGACAAGGAGATGGCTCCAAGTGGTGGAGAATGGTCAGCCTCCCCTCCTCTGTGGGAAGCAGCAGCCGTAGTTGCAGGACACGGAGTGGCTGGGCAGAGCAAACAGCTGTGAGTCTCCTTGGATTTAGGAGGGTCAATGCCAGTTCCTGCCCTGCAGGGACTAAATAGCAGCAGTCACAACTCCACGGATGGCTGTCATCCTCTGGAGAGGACACCCCACACACCCCTCACTGTCATCCCAGCCCCCAGATTGGAATAACAAATATTGAGGGGTGGGGTGCACACGGTCCCGCAGGCATTCCACCTTTTCAGCTTATTCCAGTGAATGTGCTTGAGTCCTTCACTGGTCACCCTGCCTCAGGCTCTCCCGGCCCCCGAGGTGTCCTGATATACCTGTGAGCACTGCAGAGCAGCCACAGCTCACACGCATGTCCCTCGAGGAAGGATCTGGTCCACGGCTCCTCACCAGATCTCTCTTGATCGCATTCTCTTGCAGTTCAAGGCCTTGCACACGCTAGACAGGGCTTTCCTTCCTTACACTTGAACAACTCTAAAATGGATTATTTGGAAAAAGTAACAGTGAATTTTGTTGTGTTGTTACTTTTAAATCTTTTATTATCATATAGCTGAAAATAAATTCCCCCCCCCAAATGGAAATAAAGCATATTTCCTATTACACGTTTGGTCCTTGTCTCTTGGTGGTACTGGGGTTCGATCTCAGAGCTTCATGATCGCTAGGCAGACATTCCTGAGCCTTCTTTCATATAGAGAAATCTGGCAAAAAAATTATCAAGAACCTTTAAAAAACAGGGAATATTCTATTTTGTTTATAAAAAATACTTGAGTCTATTTGATGTGGCATTTTATTGTTCCATATAAGGACAGATGGCAGAAGTGTCCAAAATAAGAGACTGACTACTTTCTGACATGCTACTCACTAAAATACTATTCAGTCATTAAAAGTGGTGCTTAAAATGCATGTTGTAGAGTTGGGAGCAGATCTCAAGGTGCAGGGTGGCTCAACGCACATTGTCATAGACACACATGAGCATTTTTGTGAAATTTTGAGAAATGGAACCTCTTAACATCTTACGTTCAAATCCCAGTAGAAATAGTGGATCTACAGGTGTAAATGAATGCAAAGGGGGAAACTGTGCACTTACACAAAGCTGTGAGCGGTGAGGATATCGAACATGTTTCTTGTCTTTGCATGTATCTCTTACCATGTGAATTTACATGGGACACTCAGAATGAGAAAATGAACACTACACGAGACATCAGGGCTGCCTCGGGCTGCAGGTATGATGCCCCCGGCCACGATGTCCACGTTGATGAGCCCTCCAGAACTCACTTCCCTGTAAGCCGGGATGGCCTACCAAGTCCCCTCGCTGATGTACTAAGGGATATGTCACCTACTGCCTCTGGTACCTCCAGCAGGGGCCACCAGGGGGCAGTGTCTGTCTCCAAGCCTGACCATTGGCTGGAGTTCAGGGTTTGGCTAGAATTGCACAGTCAGGCAGGGCCTGTCCACCGACGACAGGTCCCTTGAGGAACACTAGAGCAGACGAGCTGGAGTCACTCACCGAATCACATGACGTCAGCAGCTGTTGCCTTTCAGCTGTACAGTCTTGACCTCAGAACCAGGCAGACGGCAGTCCGCCCCCGAGCACAGGGCTGGGTCCTCTGCTTGGGTCTGACTGCCCCTATCAGGAGGGGCTGCAGCCTAGGGCTGAAGACTGGGAGTCCCGTGGCAGATGTCAGGCTGATCACGTGTCCCTCCCAGAGTTCCTTGAGAGTGTACATGCCCATGTGTTTAGTGCGTGTGCTGTGTACACATCCATGTGTTTAGTGCACGTGCTGTGTACATGCACCTGTGTTTTCTAGAGCTCTTTGTGTGCACGTGTGTGTGTGTGTGTGTGTGTGTGTGTGTGTGTGTGTGTACACGCTATTGTCTGGATGGTGGAGGCAGCAGTTCCTCCACAGACACAGAGGCCCTGAATAAGCGTATGAGCGCTGGTGCCTATTCTAGCAGAGGGCCAAAGGTCACTCAGAGCAGAGGGGGCAGGGTGGAGGTGGATGTTGATAAATGTCAACAGCTTCTAAAAATAACCCCAGAGGGAGGCCCACGTGGTGAGGGTCAGCCTCTCCCCAGTGTGGGCTCCAGCAGGCTCCACAGCGGCTGGCTGCTGGTACAAACCAGCTCCTCTGGCTCACTGTGAACAACTTGCTTTGACTGGGCTTAAGGAACTGAGAATGTGCATCCAAATAGGCCAGGCAAAAAAGTGCAGTGGTTTGTATCTGTAACCCAAGCTACGTGCAAGTAGAGGCTGGGAAGATGGACGTTTGAGGCCAGCCTAGACAAGGAATTCATGAAATCTTGTCACAACCAACTCTGCCACCCCTGGGCTCAGAGGGAGATAGGGTCTGGCCCTGCCTGCCAGGGAGAGCCAGGACACTGACCATGGTGCCCCACGGAGCCTCTGCAGCCCCACTGGGCAGGCTCCTCTCCGCCCCTTCCGCCCTCCTGCCCTCCCACCCTTCAGACACCCCCCCCACACACACACTCCCACCCCGGCTTGCCGAGCCACGGCAGTGTCTTGTTTTCACAGATCCAGAGCAGCACCGTCTTGGCTCACAGGCTCCCACTTGTCCGGCTGGGGCCATAGGAATGTGGGCTCATCCACAGCTAGCACCAGGACCACCTGCTCCCTTGTGGTTTGTGTCTTCAGCTCATCCACTGAGGTCCATGTGATGGCGCTGCCCACTTGCCCATCCACTGAGGCCTGTGTGCTGGTACTGTTCCCTCAGCGTGGCGGCTGCTTCCCACCACATCCTGAACTTCGTGCTGTGTTGAAGCACAATGCCTAACTGCAGTGGTTCATCCACTCTTCTGGACCAGGCTGAGTAATGCTGATATGAACAGG